TTAAATATGCCTTTCATATCCTCCTGTACCACACAGCTATCTGGAAGAAGCATGGGCCTCTTACAACAAAAGAAGAATGCATAACCAACTCAGATTACATTATGGACTTGTTCAATCTTCCCATCTCCCCAAAGCTATTGGAATTATTCATTATTGGTATCACCAGACCGACTGTTCCATTATTTCCAAGTGAAATAATCAGGTTGAACAGGCAGCTAGAACAGCAGCATTCCACATCCCAAACCTAACTCAATCACCTCAGGGGGTTCATATAGTACAGTTCACATTCTGTCAGACACCTCCCGACACCCAGCAAATTCTGTACTACCTACATCAGCTCTTTCATCCTAATAGATAAGCTCTGTTTCATTTAGTCAAGGCTCACCTCCAACTCACCCCTAAGTACTTTGAGTTCTTAAAGCTATCACTGCCTCTTGTAAAATCTGCCAAAAGTCAGATCCCAAGACCAAATATCATAGCTTCCGTTTTCCCACCGAGCAGGCCAGTGGCTCCCTTCCAGGAACTGACTGGCAGCTTGATTTTACTCATATGCCCACAGTCAGAAGAGATAAGTATCTCCTGGTTTCGGTAGGCACCATGTCTGGGTTTACTGAAGCATTTTTCACCACTTACAAGGGGGCCCATACAGTTTCTGATGTTCTTATCCAAAAAATTATTCCCCAGTTTGGAATACCAACCTTTTTACAGTTGAATAATGACCCAGAGTTAGTTTACTTCTCAGATTTCTCAAAGTTTTCTAAGGCTCTTAACATTCCCTGGCATTTTCATATCCCATAACGCCCTCAGTCTTCAGGGAAGGTAGAATGAAATATTGATTTGATGGAGGAGGGGCTATGTGTTACTTTCATTGGTTAATAAAGAAACTGCCTTGGCCCTCATAGGACAGAAAATTAGGTAGGAGGAGTAGACAGAACAGAATGCTGGAAGAAAGAAAGCTGAGTCAAGCAGTAGCCATGCCTCTCCTCTCCAAGACGGACACAGGTTAAGATCCTTCCCGGTAAGCCATGTGATGCTACACTGATTATTAGAAATGGATTAATCAAGATGTGAGAATTAGCCAGTAAAAGGCTAGAGCTAATGGGACAAGCATTGTTTAAAAAAAGTATAATTTGTGTGTTGTTATTTCAGGTATAAAGCTAGCCATGTGGGAGCCAGGGCCACAGCCCACTGCTCCCACCATCAACAACCATTCCCTAAAAGAAGTTCTTGTTAAGATGTCACAGGAGCTTCACCTTGACTGGGTAAACCTTTTGCCTCTGGCTCTTCTTAGGTTTACAGCTCTCCCTCAAAGCCCCCTTTTCATCTTGCCCTTTGTATTCATGTATGGGCAGCCAGTGTTAAACCCCTGCATCTCACCTAAAACCTCTCCCCTTCTTGATCATTTTCTAACTCCACTGTTATCCCATCTTCACTCCTTATTATGGAATTTTACTGACTACTTATTACCATGTGCTAATTGGTGCCCACCACCAATTAAAATAGGGGATTGGGTACTATTCTCTCCCCCAGACCAACACACCTCACCCTTTTCCCCTAAATAGCAGAAACCCTTTAAAGTAATTCTTGTAACTTCCACAGCTGCCAAGATCAAGGGATATCCTCATTGGATTCACCTGTCCCACCTTAAACCCTTTACTCTTCCAGCTCAAGATACTCCCTTGTATACATACAGTGTAATTCAAAAAGGGCCCTGCTCCATTAAGTTCCAGAAGGCACCAAGTTCAGCCACTTTTCCTCCATTTCCAAAAAAATAAAAGTTTCATCACTGTACTCAACTCTCTTGTGCAAAAACTCATATACTCTCTCTCTCTTTCTCTTTCTCCTATCTGCTTTACCAACTTCCCTATATATCCAATGTCATGATTAAATTTCCAATATTCAGTTCAGCTGTTATTTCAGGGACCATCATTAAACAAAGAGCTAGATGTACAAGGACTGTCAAAAGTCCAGGTGGTTAGAAACAATAACGAGTTTGGGAACATTTCCAGGCCCAAACTCCAAAAACTCACAAATAAGACTTTAACAAAACAGGTTTATTACTGACTGCAATAGTGTCTCCTGGATGTTAAGGTAATACCATGATGATAAAGGAGAACAAGAGCCTTAAAATTTGCTTCAGGTAAAACATTGAGGGGTCTAATAATTCCCCTTTCCAGTAATTCCCCCTTATTTTCCTCACTCCTCCCCACTGTCTTCCATTCCAACACTATATCAATGTAAACATAAGCTTTTAACATGTCTAAAATTTATTCTTTTTCAACCATTTTTTCATGAGCTCCAGGGAGCCAACTGGACTTACTTAAATGGACCAGATTCACCAAGAATAAGTATCATTTAATTCTTCTCTTATCTGGTCTTGGGAACCCCCAGGAAATTCCCTCTACCATCCCCCCAAAACCCTTTATCTTTCATCTTTGGGACTCTCCTCCATTAATCACTGGGATCTAAAATTTTTTCCAGACATAATTTTCTGCTTTTCCAACATCTTTTGATGTCCAAGCTGCCAGCCAGCCAGTTCCACAGATCCCAGAAAAAAAAAAAAAAAAACAGAAAAGTAATCAGCCTCCGCAGGATATGTTCAAGCATCTCAACTTTCTGATGCCCAGAAAATCAGCAGGAAGCAGTCATGGGAGATGATGCCTCATCTCCCTCCCATTAAAGACTACAAACTTCCCACATTTTATAATAAGCAAATGGGCGAAATGTCATGATTTCAGCCCAACTCCTTGTGCATGTCTGCTGCACAGCTTTTAAATAGGACATGTCATCTCTCTCTCTCTCTCTCTCTCTCTCTCTCTCTCTCTCTCTCTCTCTCTCTCTGCACACTGACTTCCTCATGCTTGTACATGCTCCCTCTAATAAACTCTTAAGTGGGTTTCTTGCATGTCCTGAGTTTTCTTCTAATACGCTCCAGGTAACTTCAATTATTACATAATTTAACCTGATGCCTTCTTTGTTGAAATAGGAGCAGCGTCGGGGCTGCGTCCCCAGCACCCCGGCCGCTTGGCTAGCTTATGCCCGAAATAACAACACACAAACTGTATTCATTTAAACACCGCTTGGCCCGGCTAGTTCCAGCTTCTTATTGGCTAGCTCTTACATATTGTTCTAACCAATTTCTAATAATGTGTGTAAGCACCCCAAGGTGCGCTTACAGGGAAGATTCTAACCTATGTCCATCTTGGGTCGGAGCTTCATCATGTGTGCCTCAGAGAGCAGAGCTATTGGGAGAGAGGAGCATGGCGTCTCTGCTCCAGAGAGCAGGGCTGTCGGGTCTCTCCGGGAGCAGAGCAGAGTCTGACCTCACTTCCTCTTCTTCCCAGAAATCTATTCTGTTTACTCCTCCCACCTATGCTTTAACCTATCAGGGCCAGCCAAGCAGTTTCTTTACTGCTCAATGACCTTCCTCCATTACTTCTTCCTCTAAATTCTCAAATACATTCCTTCTTTCTCTCATTCAAATTCATATCCTTTTAAATATTCTTTGATGGTTCATGTACATAACTGTATCAATGTAGATACATATTTCTTAATAACAAAAGATACCATGTTTGTGTGTCTACTGTTATTTTTATTTTCAGTGTTGAACATTAAGTATTCATAACCATTTTTGTGTATGCTTCCCTTGTTAAAATGAAATTTCTTTTTTTTTCAAGTGTTCTGAATGAGTTACATTTTCTTCAGGATTCTTTGCTTTATCTCATATGAAAGAAAAGATTTGTCTTTTGAGCACTGCTATTGACACTTACTTGTCTAAAGTTCATGTGAAACTCTAGAGGGCACCAGTGAACCTCAAATTTTCATAAGTATATTCTACAGTTAATTGTTTGATATCAGGCCTCCTCTTATTCTTTCCTTATGACATATTTATTTGTCCAGCATCCCTTGCTAGGGAACACAACTAAAGGAGCACATCAAGTTCGGCCTATCAAAGAGAGAGGGCATGGAGGACATTTATCTGTCTTTCAATAAAATCTATGACTGCACACCTAGGAAAGTACTGCTTTTACAAATGCTTTAGAGAATAATTTTAAGACATATGATATTTGTGTATTTTTAAAATTAGACTTATGTCCTATGATCTGCTTCTTTAAGTATATTAAAATTGAAACTATAATATAATTTCATTATTTCATTTTTCCTTCCTTCTTTCAAAATACTCCCATATAATGCTCATTGTTCACACATATTTTTTCATTGATTGTTCATACATACAAACACACACACATTCCTAAATAAATAAAAAAAAATCAACTATATGTGTTATGTAAGTGAAAATTCAAATTTTACTGTGTTATCTAATTATGACAGAACATTTGAGAAATATTTTTACCTAGTATATCTTTGGGCAATTTATAAGATGAGTAAAATGATTGATAATAAATGACATTTTGAGCCCTTAATTTAACTCAGATATGTTGCATTTAAAAGAGTGTATGTTTTGCATCATATTTCATCATGTCTGAAAGCAGGAAGTGTGAGTGGCAAGATCTTGGTCTTATTTTTAGGACAGTTTCATCAATACTTGATTTCTTGTGGTATTATACAAATTTTAGAAAAAATGTTGATCATTAAAGAAAGAATGGGACATATGGAGGTCTGTATGCCTACTGTATGTAATCTCTATATTGCCTGTGAATATTGCAGTCATAAAACTATTGAAACTACTTGTCTAGGAATTTAGACCTTTCTAAACTTTATGTATATCTTACTGATCGTATAAAAATGATTTTCTTTTTCTTTTTTTTTTTTTTTTGAGATAGGTTTCTCTGTGTCTTTGGAGTCTGTCTTAGAACTAGGTTTTGTAGACCAGGGTGGCCTCAAACTAACAGAAATCCACCTGTCTTTGCCTCCTGTGTGCTGGGATTAGAGGTATGTGCCACCATCACACAGCTATGAAAATGATTTTCTGTTTAAGCATACATTTCACAATATTTACTCATAAACATTTTCCTGTTTATGTTATGATTCTGATGTAGGGTCTCACAAGCTTGCTCATGAAAATTTCAGACTCAGGCATGGATGAAGTGCTTCTCCCTAACTTCTGAGAATTTCATTGAAGACACACTCACCACACCTAGCTGGTAATACTCATAAGTGTTTTTTTTTCTTTCCTATCCAATTCCTATTTTTTTTGCATGTAATATTCCATTAAATTTTTATGTTTTCATATAGTAGCAGGTTTGCTGGATATATTTATGAATCTACTTTGAATATGTCTTACTATTTCTGTAGATATTATATCCTATTCATTTAAATTAGGCATAGTTTATGTTTCTTGTGATAGAAACGACTACTGTTCATTTTTCCAGTAATTTTCCTGAAGACAATGTTCAGTAAATATTCTGTGAAGAGGCATTCACTTGTATCTTTTTCTTTCTAACACTTGAGGATGTGCTGAACCTTTGAGGATTGTAAGGATTACCACCATTTATGTTTGTAGAATTCAAGTTCAATGCATGACCTTTGATTATTTTCTTTTTCTTGGATTTATCTTTCTTAATAAATAGAAAGTTTTCATACATTTATATGAGTTTTAGTCATTTTCATCCCAGTTCTCCTGTCATATTGTACTTCTTCACTTTAGCCTCTTAACTCACTCTGTTATATATTTCCCTTTTATATTTAAAATACAATAATTTCATAAAAACTTGTGTATTTGCATAATTTCCATATCGCTTTCTCTCAAACTCTTACTGTGTAGTCCTCACCCCACTCTCAAATTTATTATCTCCTAATTTATTATTTCTATTATTTGTTACACACACAAATCTATTTATACACACATACACACTAGTGTATAACTATAACCTGTTGATTTCTAGCTCTAAATTTTTGTAGATATAACAACCAAAATGCTAATGATGTAACATATTATAATGTTTTATGGAAGTTGTGGTAATGGCCTCTAAGTTGCATAGACTCAACAACCCAGTATTGTTTGTTATTTGCAATATTCAAGGTGCTTTACCTCTTTTTAAGGAAGACTTGAGCTCAATCAGGTAGATATTCATTATTGATAAGACATATGAGCCAGCATTGCACCTTTAGTCAAATCTAGCCCTGCTGGTCATTGTCATTCAAAGGTATCATAACTAAATTCTTTTCTTTCTTTACAGCTTTCCTAAAACTTTCTGGTTTCTGATAGCTAATCCTCAGGCCCAGGGTTTTATGTAGTTCCTGTTCATATTTTTATAGTTCCATGACAAAAATATATTGTTTCAGCAATAGAGACTTAACTTCCACTTCTTTGAAGTAATCTTCTGTTAGTGGTGACCTTGGTTGCTTCCAAGGAAGCACATATTAGATAATTTTGAGAGATGTAAAATATTGATTCCTTGTCATTTTGACCATCCTTAGTGTTTATACTTATTTGTTTTGTATATTTACCTTTAGAATCCTCATAAAACCACTTTGCAGAAATGATAAGTCATAATATTATGTTTGTACTTCCATATTTATCTTCCAAATCTAGAGATGTGGAATATTTTATATTCTCTGATCCAATAAGATGCTTAAAAATACTTGATTCTCTTGTTTGACCTATCTTTTTCTTTAGGTATGTCAAGATCTCTTTTGGATTTTGTCTTTTTACTTTGTTTTTGTCTATTATTATATGGTAGTTGCTGCTTTATTTGGTATCACTTTATTATTATTATTATTTATGATTCATAAGAGACATCATACTGGGAAAGTGAACTGGCAGAGTGGAGTGTTTTAAGAGATAGTTGGTGATGTACACATGGAACTTGTATTCACACTGCCTTTTCTGAGTCTGGGTCTTCTCCTAACACCTTAACTCATTGGCAATTATTGTTCCAGCAGGTCCTGTATTACTGTCACTAGGCCTGTTTGAGTATATAATTCATCTTACAAAATACGTAGTTTTGTTTATTTAAATATTTTTCATACATTCCTGCCTCCATATTACCAATTATTTTATTATTTTATTCTTTAGCAACAGAGCAGACCTGAGAAATTGCTGCTACCAAGAAACCATGTGTCATGCTGTTATTTTGTTCGGGAATTACTTCCCAAGCTATCTCAGACTTTATGTGGATGCAGTTGCCCACACGTTGGGTGGCATTTTTAAGGAAGGCCATTCCTCCCGAGTCCTGCCCAGACTACTGAAGAAGCAGGATGTGATCTGTCCCACTGAAAAAGGTACCAAGTCATGTGGCTAACATAGATAAGAATAATGGGTTAATATAAGCTATGAGAGCTAAGAAGAAGCCTGAAGTAATGAGCCAATCCGTTTTATAACTTACTCAGATTCTCTGTGTGATTTTTTGGGGGCCAAACACTGTGGGACCAGGTGGGAGAACAGAAACCCCAACAAGCAGGCCCTTGTGTTACAAAGATTTGCATTTAGTATTACATCATTCAATTTCAAAGAACCAATGAGAAGATATCATTGGAGCATCTTGCTTCAGAGTATGGCAAACATTGTTACATTATGCCAGCAATTATGTTATACCTGAACCAGTGGCTCAGGCTATATGAAATGTCAGAGATCAATTTCCACAAGTTTATCTATTCTTTATATGGATGATGTCTTGCTTGCCCTTAAAATGAAGGAGTTTTGCTTGAGAGATATGGACAATTTCAGTAGAGTTTTACACAAGCAGAGTTAGTTATTGACCCAAAAGAAAATACAAAAACAACCACCATTCCAGTATTTAGGTCATATGCTATATCCTAAAAATATTAAGCCTCAGGTATTGGCAATGAGGAAGGATAGTTTACATACTCTGAATGATTTTCAGAAATTGATGGAAATATTCAGTGGCTAGGAGCTTATTTAAATTCTCCATGGAGACCTATGCCACTAAATAAAATTTTTAAGGGAATTAGTGACCCAGATTTCACCAGACACCTCACAAATGCTGCTAGACCTTTACCTGAATAGGTGGAAAATGCAACCCAGAAAGAGGAGAAGGAACCTCATACTGGTAAGATGAGTTCTGTGTCCCAAGATGTAGTGTGGATAAATGGCCAAAAACTCAGTCAGCATTCTTGGGCAGGTTCTTAAGTAAACAGGACTCATTGTGGTCTGGAAATTTGTAGAACAGGTCCCCCAAGAAGCTGTGAATCACCAGCCATCACATGATCTTCCTTCCTTCCTCAGACTACAGCATAATATTAGATGGTCAGGAAGCAGGCTCAGCAATCTCACTCCGACACTTCTGTCATGGCAGGAAGTACATGGTTTCTTTTCATTCCTGTTCAGATACACATAGACACTTGTCCTAGAACTTTTGAGAAACTCTTTGCCTAGTATAACTTTTGGCATTTTTAAGATGAGTTAAATGATAATTAGTAAGTAACATATTAGAGCCTTCAGCTTATGTCAAATAATTTTGTATTTATATATGTGCCTGTATGGTTCTGTAGAAATTTTTAGATTTAGTTATTCATTAAGATAAATGGATGACATATATTGACACCCGGAATTGCACTGTACCCAGTCTCCACATTACTTGTGAATATTTCATTTATAATATTAATACATCTTCTCTCATAGTTTGGTATTATTAAAACAGTCTTTTAACATTACTAATCATTTGAAAATTATTTTCTGCTTAAGTATACATATTTAAAATTATTTATTAGTTGTTCTAAACATTTTCTCCTTTCCTTCCACTATGTAGAAACATGAACTCATCATCCTGCTGAAGATGATCTCAGACTCAGGCGTGAAGGAGGTCCTTCTCTGCCTTTTCCAGAGAAGCTTTTGATAAAGACACAGATCACACACCCAGCTGATGGTATTATAGTTTGAGAGGCTTTCTGCCTTTTATTTTTCATTATTCATTGTTTGTTTGTAAAAAATTAATTTTTTTATTTTATTGTTTAGGGACATTTCCTAAATATATTTTTAATCCACCCATTTTATGCATATCTTATTATTTCTGTAGAAATCACACTATGTTATGTACACCTAGAAGTAGTTAATTTTTCTTGCTGTAGAACCCCCTACTGCTCATTTTCTCCACTAATTTCCCTGAGGATAATGCTCAGCAAATGTTCAGTGAAGTGACATCCACTTGTATCTTTTACTTTCTAACTTTTGGAAAAGTATTGAAACTTTTAGGATTCTAGGTATTAGCTTTAATTTAAACTCATGAAATTTCAGAGATGTGATAGAAGGTGACTGGAGGTTTACATAGAATAGACAGTCCTCTGAATAATGATAACACAAATGAACATGCCAAGTGGACAGAGGAAATCCCATAAGGATTCAAATATACACAAATCACTACATGCTACTGAGAAAATCTAAGACAGGGATATGTCATTCTCAGGGAAGGGCACACAATTTGTTATCTTGTAACAAAAGGCCTGCTTTAAAAACATATGTGCAATATTGTTAACATAGTTATCAGGTTATGTTTAAGAATAAATATGTATTTGTGTAATATATACATCCAGCAACAATTATTTTAAAATGAGGTCACAAATATGAAGGAGAATGTACAGTGGTATATGGGAGGGTTTGAAATAGTAAAGAGGAGGGAGAAATGTTGGAATTAAATTATAGTCTCAAAAATAATAAGAAATGAAATAACTTAATATATATACACACACATGCAGACACACATACACTCATGAACATATAAACAGACATGTTTGGGCACAAACACATGAATGCCTCATCACATACAGGTCCCCCTAAATGAGAAGACAGAGGTGTCAAAATTAGTACAGAATAATAGTGGCATTAGGAATAGGGGAGTATTCTTCACTTAGGGTATGAAAGGTGGCTTTTTATGAATATATAATATTTATGTTTTTATATAGAGTAAAATATTTGTAATAAATGAAGACCCCAGAGAAACAGTAGTAGAGTTTGTTTTCTCTATATTACCTGTATGCACACACAGGTGTTCACATATCACACAAAACTGCATGTTTATACACACATAGGCATAGACTCATGCAGCACAATACATGTATGTACATATGCATATACACAAATAAGAGAATTGTCAAAGTTAGCATAGATAGTGATTGTAGTCATGGGAGGATTTTAGATTATGTTATGGAGGATGGATTTTTACAAACACCCAGTATTTTATCTTTCAATTGAATAAGTTATTTTTAAGAAATAAATGCACACACTTCCAATTATAAATTCATATTCTTTCATATTCCTGATCTATTTCTCACTAGTTGATATTTCATACATTCATGAACACACATATATATCTATATCTATATTACATATAAGCCATTTTGTCCACATAATCTTGCTTATATCTTTCTTTTCAGGGCTGATTTTTAGACTTGTAATCTTCATTTTGCATCTAAAATGTGTCAGTCAGCACCTGTTTTCACCTGTCACTTCAGTGAGGTAAGTCATGTAATTCAATGAAATTAAATTACTTTGAGTTTCTCCTTGAAGTCATGAATCATTTTCAATTATATTTCTTACAAATCATCCTGTGGCTATGTACACTCTATGTCACTTATTCTCCATCTTCCTAATGCAGCAACACTTTAATTCAGTTCATTATGCTGTGGTGACCCCCAGCCATAAAGCTGTTTGTGTTACCACTGCATAACTGTAATTCTGATATTACAGTGATTATAATGTCAATCTCTGTGTTTTCCTGTGGTCTGAGGTAACCCTTGTGGAAGAGTGTTTTGCCCCCAAAAGGGTTGAGACTGAAAAATTGAACACCATGATCCTATGTAAACTTTATTTTCTTCATTTTTTCTTTCTTATGGAATATTTTAAGTGAGTAAGAATTCAGGTTCAGGATAATTGTCAAGTGACACACATTAGAAACAACTAAACAAAGCACAAACAACAATGAATATATTTCATCACTTACAGCTCTTAGAGAAGGAAACTCACATGCCTTAAAGTTAGTGGAATAACAGATTAATAGCACACCAGGGAATGTTTAATTTATAATTAGATGAAAATACACATATAGCTGATAATTATGTAAATAGGTACAGAAGAAGAAGTGAAGAAATGAGCAGAGGGGGATCATATCCTTTTTATCATGCATATACATTTTTTAAAAATCTGCTTCCCTTTCATCATGGGTAAAGAGAAAGGTAGCACATTTCCTGGGGTCTTATGGTAACTAAACAGGAGTTGCTGTTCTCAACATGACCTGTAGTTGCTTTGATACTCATTGGACAACCTCAAATGGGATCTCATTTTCCATTAGGATTTGTTTTTTATAATATAATATAATATAATATAATATAATATAATTTTAATCAATTTTCAGGAAATTTTAACTTTAAACTCATATTAATATTTAGTTATCTTAGAGCAGTATATTGCTAAGCTCTCAAAATTGTTTCTCTAAAATGGGAAGTCTGTAGTTCAGTTGAAAAAAAAAAAAAAAACCAGAGACAGATATTCAGATTCAAACTGAAGGTCAGCAAAGCAAAACAGCCAGCCATCGACTCTTACCTCTACCTTGGTCTGAAATGGCAATCCTGCCTCCAGGAATCTCAGAATGAGACTGTGTCTGAGAGCTGTCTCCTCCTGTCTTATATTCCTCTCTAGGGCTGTGATTAAATGCATGAACCATTACCACCCAGTTTCTATGGGAAACTAGTGTGGCAAATAATATTGTGGGGAAACCAAGGACATGAGGGAAGGAATCGCTCAATACTCTGATTTAAATGGAAGTGAAAACACACATGTTGATTTACTATATTTTCTTCATTTTACCACCTCAGATAATCACATAAATGATTTTTCAAATCCCATTTATGTATATAGGTCTGTTTATAAATATGAAAAACTTGTTATTAGAAGAGATCTTTAAATTATGTTATTGAGAAATTATGTTTCCATCATTAGATAAAAGTGAAGTACTAAAATTATTTCACATATTTGATCAGTATTGAAAATATGTTCAGTATGATTAAATATGTCATGACTTGTGATTATTCTGCATATTTATTTCCAGTTAGTTCATTCTGTCCTAACAAAATGTCAGAAATATGTCATGGTTCCATTCCTTAGATCTAACTCTGCATCTTAGCAGAAGGTTAGAAGTAGAGGGAGTGTAATCCTTTGATTCTGCTCAATTGGCCTCTGTACTTTGCTCACATGTACTGGAATATATTTCCTGGTCTACAAGAGTTAGTTCCAGGACAGTCTCCAAAGCTACAAAAAAACCCTGTCTTGAAAAATAATAGATAGTCATCATACATACACATTAAGAACCATGTGCATACACAGACTCGGGATTACTAATTTAATACCCATAACTATGTTGCATCTTCAACATATTTATATATCCCATTATGTTAGTCATATATCCCCTTATGTTCTAGAGCTTTGAAGAAGATTAACAACTGTTCTGGCCCACATTCCTCACTTCTGATTCCAGGGCAACACACATGTGGGTGAATGGAAACCACGTTTCAATCTGTTTTTAGCCTCTGTGGGTAAACTCCAAAGTGGTCTTGAACTTTTCAGATGTACCAAAAAGAAAGCAATACCAAGATTTCTCTGATTTTCAATATGGCAAAGGCAAAAAGTTTCAGTGTAGAGTGCTTGAGTTGTGTAGGAGGAAATGAGTGGTTTCTGTGTACAAAACCTTCTATAAATGTTGGATCCCCTGCTGGGCTTTATTCTTTATCCGTAATCACAGCACTTTTCATAGCTTGTCCTTGTTCTTCCATAGAGATTTCAAGTAAAGTCATGTTTATGCCTCAAAGTTTTATTGCCACAGTTCTCGGGTATAGTTTGGAACAAATACCTTCATCTGCCTTTGTGCTCTAAAAGGACTGAGATGTGTTATTTCAGAAATGAAAAATGATATAGCATGATCAGTGTCTGTTTATCTGTATCTGGCAGATGGCAGGTATAAACCTGTGGGTATCACTTTCATATGTTTTTTCCTCTTCACTTTAAGTACCTTCTCATCAAATGTTTCTCAAGACTATGTTCTTACCCATATGAATATTTTTAAACCCCAGGCTTTATGCATAGAAACAACACAGGTACTCAGCCAACTTAAGTAAAAAGTAGCTTACAGTGGTATAAAGGAAGCATTTTCAGAACTCACCCTAGAAACAACACAGGGGCTAATTAGTTTGAAGTTCCAACTCTCTTAAAGTTGTCAAATGCTAGGACTCTTGAGTCAGACTGCTTTATTCTTAACCCATGTTCTGATTCTCATTATAGGTTCTTGATTTCTATTATCATAAAGGATGTGTATCATCTAGTTTCACTGATATACTATTTATGATACTACTTTTCCACTTTAGCCACCCTCTCAGTCTATGCCTGGCCTTGTCTAAACAGCTCAGATGTCTCATGAAGTTATAT